GGTCTAGGTAGGGTTAAATTTCACTCACCGAAAAATGGCAATACCCCTTTGACAGGAAGTACGTCTGTAACGAACACGAGAGACACGACCATGGAGAGTAGAATGGTAACTCCATACGAGATCCTGTCGCCCCTGTCTAAGGGCATGATGAAGGTGATGACCATCAGTACCACCAGGATGATGCAGGGTCCAACAGTAGTGGCGATGTGGAACAGGGGGGCCCGCGACAAGTGTAGAACGAAGCAAGCTTCCCTGTTGTCTTTAGCAAACATCTTGTCCTTCCGGTACCATTCGCCTTCGGTCTTCTCGGCAGAAAAGGTGTCGCACTCATTAGACCCATCTTCTTGGCCTTGACATTCTGTGTGTGTATGTATATATATATATATATTACCACAAACTATCATGTTTCAGCTTACAACAAATTGAAAACAACAGGTTCATGACATCATACCTCACAAAACCGTCCTTACAAATTATACAATATTTATTATGCAAATAACAGCCTATTTACATAAATTATCGGATATGACCATATTCTGAACCAAATGACTGTCATTTCGAAAGAAATAAGGCTAGCGTAGCATTGCCTCCTGAATTTTGCAAATAAGGTCTTCATTTGAATAAAGCATGTTAAGCGATTCCAAATATGGCAAGTATTTAATTCCGATTAGTTATCACTATAGAATAATAGCATTTTGCCCTTGATTATGCAAATAAAGTTTTCATTTACATTATCAATATTTACCAATTTTACTGTAGCATACGTCCTACGTAATTCATATCTAATTTTGTGAATGTTAAAAATGACGACGATCCGTGGTTCTTGAGTTATCCTCCCTCGAAAATGTTTTAAACACATTCTCCTGTAGTACCAGAACATGTTGCTAGAGATTTCAAATTCATGTTACATATTTTTCCGAGTACAAAATCCATGAGACTGGAATGTCGAGATAGCTACATGTACATATCATAACTGGAAGTTCCGCTGCAGTATCATAAAAAGCCCAAAATCTAGTCATGTCTATGCCGTATGGACACCTACACACCTACCAAGTTAAATGACAATTCACCAAAAACTTCGTGCTAAACCACATACACACATACACACAAACATACACCCACATGGAAAACACCTTGCCGAAGGTAAAAATCCTTACGAATCGTTTGCTTGATAGCAGTGTGTGCAGAAAAGCAGATGTGACATTCCATGGTGTCTGCAGGAAAGAAGAAGGGGTCTGCATCACACACGGTGGTGGTCAGGGTTTCTACACTCCAGACTACCAGCCCATCACTGCTGACTCGAACAGGTACGTCTTGTTGTAGGCCTCGGTAGGTGACGTCGGCACTGTGAAGTGGACACAATGCCATATGAAAAGTTCTTCTCTTCTTTTATATTACCAGAAGACAATGTCAATACAGAGACAATGCGGCTGTCTGTCATTACTACAGGGTATGTTTGGCGTGGCGTACAGTGAGGTTTGTATGTATCTTGTCTCATGGCCACGGTTGCGAGAGGATGGGGCCTGGCTTTGACAATTACCTTGAGGATGTGTTGGTGGCTGGAGGCAACGCCTGTTGTGCCACCCTCTTGTCATTCCAGGTATTTTCTCTCCTCCCAGCACGTTTCCAACCTTGACTTGAAGGCGTTAACAGACTCTGCCTCTACAACACTATCTGACAAGGAGTTCCACTTGTTGACTGTCCTAACACTGAAGGAATTCCGGCTAACTATGTACTTGGACAAGGGCACAGCCAACTTGCAACAGTGGCCTCTTGTTACTTGCTGGTTTCCAAGGTGGAAGAATAGCTCAGGGTCTACCCTCTCCTTTCCTGTGAGAAACTTGTAAACCTGGATCATGTCTCCCCTGTTCCTTCTGAACTTGAGTGATGGAAGTTTTAGCTTCTTCAGCCTCTCACTATATGGGAGTGTTCTAAGTGAAGGCACCAACTTAGTGGCCCTGTGTTCACCTTTTCCACTAGCTTCTGATCCCCCTTGAAGTGTGGAACCCAGACTGTGTTAGCATACTTCAGGTGTGGCCTCACCATTGACTTGTACAGCAGAGGCACAGTTGCTTCGTCCAGGTTGGATAATGTTCTCTTGACTAGACCAAGCACATAATTGGCCTTCTGGGCTGCCTCAGCAGTGTTGACATGAAAACTTAAATGCTCGTCCACTTTTACCCCCAGGTCTTTTTCCACTTCAGTGTGTTCCAGTACTTGTCCCCCCAGACTGTAGTCGGCTCTCTGGTTCCCTCTCCCAAGGTGTAGGACTTTACACTTTCCTGCATTAACCCTCAAACACCCGAACTTTTTTGTGACGTTAATGGCCGAACGGGGTCCAAATAGACCCCATTTGGTTTCTTTCAAATTTATATTTCTATTTATATATATAAAAATAGATTCCTTTTTGCATCCTTAGCACATATATCGGTTAAACATATTAAGACGTTTATTTTGGCATGATTAAGTGCTAAAAAATTCCAGCTCATTATCATAATTTATGCAAAAAAAGGATGAGGCCTGCAGGCATGAACATGGGGTTGACCTTTGACCCCATATGGTTGTCAAATTTTCAAACCTCTTAAAGGACGCTCCCTTGAGGAATGTCACTTCCAACGTCTCGCCACTTGGATTGCACTCCATTTATCACCACCCCCTATTTCCTGTTCTTATTAAGGAAGTCCCTCATCCACATGAGGATGTCCCCCCTCACCCCGTACGCTTGGAGTTTCACCAGCAACCTATCATGTTGGACTGAGTCGAAAGCTTTTTTGAAGTTCAAGTAGATACTGTCCACGGGTTCCTCCCTCTCAAGACACTGTGACCAGTCATTCATGACAACAAGTAACTGCGTAGTGCATGACCTTTTCGGGAAGCCATGCTGGGAGTCTGTGGGTAGACTGTTATCCATGAGATGTGTACGCAGTGCATCCCTAATGATGGACTCAAGTACTTTAACAACAACAGAAGTCAAACTCAAGGGGCCTGTAGTTCCCCGGCTCTTGTCTGCTGCCCTTCTTGTGAATGGGGGTTATATGCGCCACATTCCAGTCCTCTGGCAGAAGACCACAGCCCAGTGATTTCCTAAAAATGACTGCTAATGGATATGCCAGGACTTGTGCTAGTTCCTCGAGGAGCCTAGGGTGTAGACCATCTGGTCCTGCTGACTTTGTTGGATGTAACTGAGTCAGTTAATTTCCCTCTCAGTCTCTTCACTTATGTCCAGCCCTTCTAACATGGAGTTTACTGATCTTTTACTGATATTAGGGATGTTAACCGTGTCCTCATTTGTGAAGAGACTGGCGAAGAAGTCATTTAGAACCTCTGTCTTATCTTGTTTCAATAAGGCCATAGACCCATCAGGCTTAACTAGACTGCCGATCTTCGGCCTTGTACTGAGGCGAGCCTTGGCATACTTCCAAAATGCTTTGGGGTTGTTTTTGAGGTCTTTGACCAGTCTGTGCTCGTAATTCTTAAACAGCTGTCTTGTTAGGGTCCTGAGACCATTCCTGATGCGAACTTTCTAAAGTCGCCAAGAAGCTTTCCATGTAGACCATGCGCTTTTTTTCTTCTTTACTAGCAAAATTGCATGCTTGCTCATGTAAAGTTTGTTTGGTTTCTGGACTGCTTTAGCCATTGGGATGCATTCGTCCGTGACCCCTTCTATGATCTCGCAGAACTTCGCCCATGCTCCAGGCACCTCCAAGTGATTCAGCTCAGCATCCCAGTCGATATCACCAAGATCTTCCCTTGCCTTCTGGTAGTTACCCTTGTTGTAGTTGTGTCTTGTTACCATGACAGGTGAGTCGACCGCCCCACAGTTGATGAATAAGGTTTTGGTCTTGAGGTCAGCTGGCTAAAGACAAAGCTCCAGTCGCTTAGTGACTTCTTGGACCAACCAGTATTCCCTGCCACCAGAGGAGAGTCGGTCGAGGTTGTTCAGTCTACCTTGGTAGTCTCATTACATCAGACTGTAAATCTGACCAAGATGTTAAGCGCAGGCTGGGAATAGCTTCAGCAGCCTTTGCGAGTCTCAGTCGTGTGTGACGTTCCAAACAATCAAGTTAAGGACTTACAACACTTTGGTCCAGTCTGTCCTTCTGTACGGCGCAGAGTCGTGGACCATTACAAAGTCACCTGCTCAGAAACTGGATGCTTTTGATTCGCAGTGTGAGAAAGATAGATGGTATCTGCTGGCACGACTTCATTTCCAACGGAACAGTTTCGCCTTAGGACAGACCAGCCACCAGTAACACGCAGGATCGTCAAGCAGAAGATGACCTTCTTGGGGCATGCCTCTCGAGCTGTTCCTACCCAGGACGTCATCAAACTGTTGACCTCACAACCTAACCCAACCTGGAGACGTCCAAGGGGCCGGCCTATGGCAAGATGGGAAGACCAGATCTTCCCCACACTTGGGCAGCTGGGTGTCAGAGACAACTGGAGGGTCTGCGCTGAAGACAGATCATCTTTGCGGGACCTGTGCGTGACTGTAGCCGCTATGCATCAGACCATGATGCCCGATGAAGATTGATTGTGTGTGACCTGATTACGACTTCAAATTACTTGAAAATAATGTGGAAAAAAGTCCAGCAGGACAAGGGTTAAGGGAGGCAGCCACACAGATTCTACTAGACTAGGGTCAAATTAAACTCATTGCAACATCATTATCGGCCGGGGTTATAACGTCAATTACGCCCCTTTAGTTAGCTTAGTCGTGGCGGGGTTCGGGATGATGTTAATTATCACTCAGACGGAGGCCTGGCGGACGTGGATGATACGGAACAAAGATTTGCAAGGCCTCCGCCCGGGTGGTTTGAACAGAATCACCAAATCCATACAGTATTATCGTACTATCGCCTTGTACCATCACATACCTAGGCATGTCCCTACTCTTTTTCGAAAGGGGTGGTGGGTTCATCAGGGTGCGTGGCGTGTGGCTCTCTCCCAAACACGGGACCTCCATTTAAAGACCATGCTTGTACTATAAGGTCGCCCAAAAATTCAACTAACGTAAACTAACAGACCTCTAGCTCTGACTACGGTGGGGTAACATGTGCAGAGGCCAGGCTAAGACATTGACCAACACAACTTACTCTTCAAGACAGTTTGAAATGTATAGACAACAGATATGCAATTGAAATAAGATTGTAAGAAGTTACTCTCACCTAATCCAGAATATAATGGCAACACTGACTTGCCAAACTGTTAGTGTATGACATTGGGTCACAATAACTTGTAGTTGTACAGTCCTAACAGAGCTCCAGTCAACGTGACTTATTCTGTTTTCTTAGACAGCCAAAAGGGCATCAAAATTTCACGACGAATTTCTAGAACTCACTATCAAAGCTGATTTAGCCGTAGGGAATATATTTTAAAGTTAAAAACCAAACACCTACCATTAGACACCTTCGGTAGGGCTGTTTAGAAAGTTGAAATATGAACGCAAGGGTAGTTGTTGAAACAATGTTGATAGTAATTTCTTAATTATATGACTTAGTTACAATTATCTTGATCATTCTGCATGGTTTGTTATTCTTACTTTGAACCAGTATAGAAAAATATTTGAATTTGTTCCAAAATGTTGACAGTTATTCCTGCCATTGTTTTTGGTGGCTGGACCGTCTAAGATCTGTATGAGTTTATGTGATTATGGGGGTCATTTTACTATTCAAGCTGCTAGAAATGCCACTGTGGAGAGTACTTGTTTATGGCAGGACCCAGGGTCCTCATTCCTGTAGTTTAACGTCCTATCCGATAGAGTTCCCTATTAGGTACTAGCTAGGTAGAAGCTAGGTACGCATTTACACCTGACTGAAGTAAGAAAAGTCGTGTAAAGTGCATTTCCAAGGGTCACAAGATTGGTTCGAACTAGCGAGCTGTTGGGTCTAAGCCAAACACGCTACCGTTTGCGCCACGCGTTCCCTTAAAACAATTACGCCATACCAATTACTCACTAAACCCAAAAATATTTTTGAAGTTTAAAATTTTCGATTTCTTATTGTTCTTTTGTCATCTTTATGTAGACTCCAGCAATGATTAGTAGGGAAATATAAAGGGTAATGCAAATTGCAAAATAATATGTATGAATTGGGTTAGCTTAAGACGTTCTACGTACTTTCTTTTCACAGTGAAAGATGGTGTCCAAATTCTGCTGCCCAGAACGTTGTGCGTCTTGATGTCACCATAGTACTTTGGGTCCCATTTTAGCTGATTGCTCCACCATTTCTAAAGCAAACATCATGTTATGGTCCAAATGAAAATAACAATGTCTCTTAAGGACGAACTTACGGCGAATTTTTCTTTATTCATCAAAACATCAAAACATAACAAGGACAGTGTGGCGCTGCAATCAAGTTAACAACTTATATTAACAGCGCCACACAACAAAAAGGTACAATTAACATTTAAATATACAAAGTTGACATATCTGTGCGCCGTAGTCCCACCACCCCAAGACATTAAAATGTTGAATTAAATGCTAACAGATATTTGAAAGAAAAGATTACATGGTAACCTCCTATATCTCAGTGGCGGAAAAAAACATCCGCCAATCAGAGCTAGAAGGGGAAATTTAGGCCCTTTAACACTTACGTAGTATTTAGACTTCTATATCTAATTGACTGTTAGAAACAGTCAAGCAGAGCTAGAAGCGCTTGGTATCTCCAATGTAAACCTGAGTGAGTTACATCATTTTAAAGTTGTACATAGAGGGTAAAATTGAGGAGCCTCTAAGAATAAAGTGCAGTTTAGCATTATCTGACATATTATTAAGGTTGACAAGATGACCGAGTAAATCTGCAAGATTGCCAAAAAGTTCCGATTTCTCATGATTGTATAATGGACAATGTATCATGAAATGCATGACAGATTCGCAACGACACCCGCATCTACAAGAGGCACTGGTAGAGAGTCCTCGGGTAAACAAACTACGATTAAGAGCACAGGTGCCGATGCGGAGCCGAACAAGAAGGGTGCAGGTGTAACGCGGGCCACAATTGTAATGTGGGGGACAAAGGGGACGTACTAATCTAATAAGGTGTTTCCGGAACAAGGAGTATCGTAAAGAACGAACTCCCAGGTCCAGTTTATTCCAATGACTTAAACAATAGGGTATAAAAGATCTACTAAATCTATTAGTAAATTGTAACGAAATTCGAAAGTCGTTACTATTTCTTAAATTGTACAAAGTGGTTTGAGAAATTTCGGGGGGGGGGATCAAATCAAAAAGATATTTCTGTGTTAGGCCATTGGCTATTTTATGAAATAAAAATAAGCAATGAAAATGGCGTCTGCTAGAAAGAGACTCCCAACCCAGTTCTTGACAAACAAATAAGTAAGAAGAGCTTTTAACTGCTCCCGAGACGATAAGAGAACATTCATATTGGATTCTTTCAACAAGAGCGGAGTCTTCAGCAGTACAGCCATGCCAGATCACATCTGCATACTCCAAACAGGAACGGAAAAATGGTTTCTAAAACATTGCGAGGTAATTTAAACTTTAAACCACGAAGTACAGTGACCTGTTTAGATATTTTAGCGAATTTCTACACAACCTACGTTTTGGTTTATATATAACTGTATCAACTTACGAAATCAATGACAACAGAGGTGACCAGCTGCTCATTCTTTTCATCCTGAAACAACATAAAAATGGATTAAAATACAGTTTTGCCAAGATTAGTTATCCTTATAGTGATAAACAAACGGTTATCTGAAATGTATAGCAGTAATAATACTTACCAAGTCGATAACCTGCTCTACAGATCCGTTGAAGGTGATTGTGGTGTTCTCAGGAGCTAAACCTGCTCCGTAGATCTCTAGCACCTCATTTTGCAGCCTTCGTCTATGATCAACTAATAGTGATAGGATAAAGGTCAATTGTTATGATGGCAATAATTGACAGACTGATGGATAAATGCCAATTACCCGTGGTCTTGTTGTATCAACATTTAACCCTAAACAGTACACCTGGGGTCCACGCGGACTATATATTCTGTAATATTTTTTTTTTGTTTTTTAAGATTTTTTTCTGAAAATGTTTATATCTGATTTTCTTTAGGGGTCCGCGCAGACCCTAGCCGGCTTTCGATCGTAATCATACACTGGCGTTCTTATACATTACTTTATTTCCGTTTTAAATGGTTTTATGCACTTTATCGTGTGGCCATCAACTTTTCAGAGAACGGTGTATTAATAGAATTAAATTCTAACAACTTTGGTGTAATTATAACGTCATATGACGTCAGAGCTAATGATATGGTCTGCCATATTGGATTTTGACCAATGACGTCATCAAATTAGCATATATTATGAATATTAAATGATTTAACTTATCGTTAATTATGTAAGATGTTATTAATGTCAGAAAGGAAGTGTTATTTAATATAAAATCCAGAAAATGTTTATATTTAAACCAAAATTACTGATTTTTCCCCCCAAAAAAACTGCCTGTCAGAAACCCGTTGCCATGGCAACACGAAAATCATTAACTTATTCAACTAACATAATTGTTTTTCCAGATACATTTTCGAATGGTCACCAAATTTGATAGCTCAAGCCGTTCAGGCGCTATTTAAGATTAAAGTTGGCGCGGGCTTCAAAAGACCACTCTGTCTGAATAGGGTTCAAAAATCGGGTTTATTGATTGAGGGTTTATTGAGGGAAACTCTCCTTTAGCTGCCCAGCCGAAGGTGGCAGCTATTCTTCCAGGAGAGGGTACATACATGTAAGACATAACAATACATCACGTACAATTACATATACATTTACATTACATAGTATTTTAAAAGAAAACAAGTGTGTAACATCGTATGTGCTCTACTTATTCATGTCCCTGATGTGTTTTAGTAGGCCTTGTTTGAACTCATGTGATGCCACTGTTTGCAGCCCATTTGGTAGAGAGTTCCATGCTGCAGTAGTTCTGTATTTGAAGGCTTTTTTAGTGCTGTTTGTTTTTGGTTTGTCTAGTTTGAAAGTGTTCCGAGTAGCATATCTTGTTCTGTAAGTGTGCTGATGTGACACCGGGCACAGTTGATTGTAGAGTATGGCTGGTTGTTTGGAAGACAGGATCTTTTTGAAAGTGCAGATGTTATTGATGTTAAGTCTCTCCTCCACGGTCTGCTAGGACGGTTCCTCGTGAATCTGATTCACCCTGGTACGGAGATCACATTTCAGAATCAGTCGCCCTACTTTATTTTGTAGCGTTTGTAGTGCAGTAACATTCCTTTGAGAAGTGGAAGACCATACGGATGTGCAGTAGTCGATGAGTCAATGTGAGTGATTCTGTCAGGGGTTTCAACAACGACCGGTCCAGGCAGGCCAAATTCCTTCTGATTACTCCCAAGGAGCAGGCCATTTTCTTAATGATGTGCTTTATGTGAAGGTCCCATGTGAGCATGTCGTCAAGCACTCCTCCAAGAAGTTTCATTTCGGTAACCTGCTGGATCAGACTCCCATCGGCGTACAAGGTAAGTACAGGTTTCTTTGAAATTTTTTATCTGCTCCCTAGCACCATGCATTTGGTGTTATTAGGGTTTAGATACAGCCTGTTCAATTTCACTTAGTCATGTAGTCTACACATCTCCCTCTGTAGAATGGACGTGGCAGTCTGGATTGTTGGAGCACAGGTGTATGCTGAAGTGTCGTCTGCATACATAGCAGGAGTGGCTTCAGTCACAGCCAGTGGCAGGTCGTTTGTGTAGATTGTAAACAATAACGGACCGAGACAGCTCCCTTGCGGAACGCCACAGTGTATCTCCTTGATAAAATGCACACATTGCGATCTCCCCGTTAGGTAACTGTCCATCAAGTCTACTGCTGTGTCCGAGAAGCCATAGCATGCTATTTTTTGTAACAAGCAGTTATAGTCCACCAGGTCAAAGGCAGCAGAGAAATCAAGAAAGATGACTCCAATGATGTTCCCCTGGTCGATTGTGCGGTACCAGTCATCGGCTAGTTGCAGAAGTGCAGTACACGTCGAGTGGTGTTTCCGGAGAGCATGCTGATAGGGTGACATCAGATTGTTCTCTTTGAAAAAAAGTAGATATCTGGGTGCTGAAAACCTTCTCCATTATCTTGCTAAAGACAGATAGAAGGCTTATTGGCCTGCTGTTATTGGCCACACAGTCGGGTTGTAGTCGACTTGGATAGAGGCACAACTTTAGCTTTCTTCCATTCCGCCGGATATGTAGAGGTGGTGAGCGATAGGTTTATTATGTAGCACAGTGGTCTGGCGATTTCCTTTGCCACCAACCGTAACAATGTGTTGTCTATGTTATCTAGCCCAGTCGCTGTCCCATCCGGTAAGGATTCAAGTTACTTGCAGATTTGATCACAGTGTGCCAGTTTAAACTCAGAACTGCAGTCATTTACCATCATGATTGTGTCTCTTATCAGTTGCAAAGGATCACCGTTTACTTGTGAACCGATTCCGGCCCTAAGAGAATCAACTTTCTGTGTAAAGAAAGTGTTGAAGTAATCGGTATTTGTTCTTTTTGTCTTTTCTTCACCCAAAAATAGGAAAACGTCAAAACGTATGATTTTTGTACGTAATGTGGACTTAGAGGTGCACACATCAATTTGCAAAGCAATTGAGCTGGTAGCATGATAATTTCTAAAAATAAGCAAAAAACTGTCTTGGGGTCCGGGTGGACCCCAGGTGTACAGATTAATCAGTCCGGGAAGGTGTACTGTTGAGGGTTAAAGATCAAGAACATAAGAAATATCAGTCCGATAGTTTACTAAAAATGTTGCAACAGATTTTCCTTGGCTCTACAATCGGCTTTAGGCACAGAAAAAAAGCCTATTAGCAGGCTAAGAATTTAAGTAAAAAAAAACTGTTGCCGAAGGCTGCGTTTAAGGGTGAAAACGTATTAATTAATTGTTTTGGTACTGGAAGTTAAATAACAGCAGGCTATTCTGGTTCATAATCTATTTATCTGTTATGGGAATCCAACAATTTCTTAGTGCATGTTCATCAAAATTGATGTTGGCTAAAAGATTTGAAGATTTTGTATTTTTCAATAGCGAAGGCTATCCAAACCTCACTTGAACAGATAGGCTTGTCATAGAGCCAATTGCCGTCTTCCGTGCACCTCACTTCCCTGGTGTATCCTGCCTCCAGGGTGTAACCCTCGTTGCACGTATACGTGACTCCTTCACCCACGTAATAGAACCTCTTCTTTGGACTTCTCTTGCCGTAGATTGGAGGACCTCTGTCCCTGCAGACATTCTCATCTGTGTGTAGCGGGGGGGGGGGGGGAGAAAAGTCTGGTTTTTGAATAGGACTAAATTATAAGCCTTTAGAATAGTCTGGTTTTGGAACAGGCCTAAATCATAAGCAAAGAAAGTCCATATAACAATTCTTAAACTTATTTTTTTTTATTAAAAGGTGCATATTCGACGACAATTATAAATATGTAACTAGAAAGGCCAATATTTGCTTTGGAGCAAATACAGCGATGGGTTCACCACATTTTACGACATGGCAGGGAAAAAATGAGAAACACAAGGGAAAACAATGATTTACATTGATATAACTATAATATGAAGTAAAATACAACTAAAACAACAGTTGGATAGCTATTCCCTACTTTATTGGTTAGGATTTTTAATTACATAATGCAAACTGTTGATTTTCAAAATAAAATAAAAAAACGTCCATGCCCCGCATTCCAATGCTGGAGCAGGAAAGCTTGAAATACCTACCAAACCACTTGAATACAGACATACTGTCAGTATGGAAATGCTCTGTGCAGGTGTTAATCAAGTTAAATCCCAACAGCCAATCAGCAAGAAATGCTCTGTGCAGGTGGAAATGCTCTGTGCAGGTGTTAATCAAGTTAAATCCCAACAGCCAATCAGCAAGAAGTATAGAGGAAAGCTGCATGCCTATTGGTTGATGTCCTGCATTCCATTGTGATGACTCATGCCCAAACGTGGTAAACAAGGCACACTAACACAGTAATACATTTGCTATAACACAGCCAAAAAACTCAAATAAAACCATTCTAAAAGCCTGTATCACAATAATTTAAAAAAACGCCTAGGGGTATTTGCCCACTATACCTCCATACCAAATTTCAGGACCTTGGGCCCTAAAATGAAGAAGCTGAATCCATTTAAAAAATGGCAGGAGAAGGAGGAGGAGGAGAAGAAGAAACACCAGAAAAAGCAATATGGGTTCACCACCACTTCGTGGTGTGGTGAACCCATAATAAGGCAACGGCATCTTTGAGCCCCATGCCAAAGTATTGTCTTTAACATTGTGTATTACTTCTTGACAACATAACTTACTGCATGGGATGACGCCACATTCCTCCTGGCTACCGTCTTGAGTTAAGCAGAATGGCCGATCCAGACCGTCAGGGTTGCGGCAGTAATTGTTGTCCAGGTTGGCCCAGGAGTACTCGTCGGTGTCATAATCAGTCGACCACACCATACAATCTGCGCCGGATGCAGTTTTACTCCAATTTCCGCGGTAGTTTTTTCCATTGCCATGGTAGCAAACTAAGATAGACAATCAACAATGAAATAGCAGCTGATCTTAATAATCCCTAAAATCATTATTAATCAATTTAGTGAATTTTGTGTTTGCTTTTTAGACCCTAAAATTTGCCAATATTTCTTACTCCTATGTTTCTTTTTTGGGTATAACTTGATAGATTTTTCTTACAAGCTCTGTCGCTGGAGTCAATTTGAGTATTGCACCTGGTATTAACATTGATATTTGAATGAAAGCTTATCTGTGTTGGTAGAATCCATAGTTATAGAGTTTAAGCTTGTTTCAACACAAGAAAATAACTCACCATAAATTTTCGGTTGATCCCGTCAACATTCGTCAGATGTGTGATACAATCGCTGACTTTCCGGAAGTCGGGAATGGGCCCTGATGTAAATCGCCTGCTTCATGTCTCTCACAAAGTAGTCCTTCTCCGTGTCCAATATTCGTACCTAATCCAGTGTAACGGTGTGACCTGGAGACTCTATATGTAAGTATTGTGAAACTTCGGAGGTAGTAGAACTTGGGCGCCTGTGCTCCGAAAATATAGTTTTCTGTGATCGTTCCGTTTCAGCTATGTATGTTTCAAGGCACGGCCCCCTGATATTCTGTCCTGTACACTGTATGTGATATATCACCTCACACTTCTTTCTGGGTTTTGTTTTTGGGTGCCACTAACAGCTGTCGTAAGGTCCGAGTTGGTTTGAAACAAGTTTTTATGACGTGTGTATTCTCCGTAGGGCTTCTGATAGGTTCTTCATGTACGGTAAGACCATCAATCCTCTGTTTTGTCGCGTGAAAGAGTTCAGATTGTGGTTTCTAACAGAACTGGGTTTGGGAGTGGTTGCCTTATGTACAGCACACTTAGGGTAGACACAGTTTAATAAAGCTTTAGTAATGTGTTCTTTCTATGGTTGTCTATCCTGTGGGTAGGTGACATTGGTGTCGGCTCTATAGAACAATGTACGAATAACACCCAATTTATGCTCTAGTGGGTGATTAGAACTCAAGGTCAAATACTGGTCAGATTCTTATGTCCACTGAACCATCCTCTTGTTTTTTGTGACATATGTGATATATCACATACAGGACAGAATATCAGGGCCCTGAAACAAAACCCAGAAAGAAGTGTGAGGTGATATATCACATACAGTGTACAGGACAGAACATCAGGGGTCCGTGCTCTGAAACATGTATAGCTGAAACGGAACGATCACAGAAAACTATATTTTCGGAGCACAGGCGCCCAAGTTCTACTACCTCCGAAGTTTCACAATACTTACATATAGAGTCTCCAGGTCACACCGTTACACCGGATTAGGTACGAATATTGGACACGGAGGACTACTTTGTGAGAGACATGAAGCAGGCGATTTACATCAGGGCCCATTCCCGACTTCCGGAAAGTCAGCGATTGTATCACACATCTGACGAAGGTTGACTGCATAAAACTAAAAAGTTTTAGTGAGTTCTTTTCTTGTGTTGGAACAAGCTTTTAAGTTAACAGATATCAATGTTTGGTTGAATAGTTTAAAAATTCTATAACTAAACATTGATATCTGTTAACTTAAAAAAAAACATATCAAGGAAAATAGATACAAATTAGAGTTCGACTAAAATGATCATTTTAAACTTTACAATTTACCTTCGTTTGATTTCTTATCTGGATTAGGATTCCAACACCCGTGCTGCGAATGTGGAAACAAGTCACATGGAGGAAACGCTTTCTTTATTTGTTCATCAGCCTTGTTGAGCACTTCCTCACACCACGAACGGCACGGTACCAGTTGTGAACCCCTAAAAATCAAATTTACTATCAGCCCATGAGAATAGGACATTGACTACGTAACGGTTTGCTGCCTTACACAGATGTAGTAAGATGGGAGACTTCATAACCATTTACCCTTAACCCTATCTAGACTGGGGGGGGGGGCTTAAAGTGCCCGAGCCAACTTTGATGTCACATAGCGTCTGAACGGCTAGAGCTAGAACGGCCAAACTTGGTGACCTTTCCTAAAATATTGTTAGCAACAATTCTGTATCATTTGGGTAAGATAATGATTTTTTTGCGTTGGCATGGCAACGGGTATCTGACAGGCATTTGTTGCTCAATTTAGTAATTTTCGTTTCAACAATAGATTTTATGGGTTTTATGTCAAGTTACACATAGTTTCTAATATTCATAACATCCCATATAATTTCATGTAAATCTTATCATTAAAAATTCATAATTCATGCTAATTTGATGACGTCATTGGCCCAAATCCAAGATTGCGGACCATATCATTAGAGCAGGTATATATAGGTTATTTTTCTTGTAATTTTATCAAAACTTCAAAAAGTCTGTTTACAATGCATTTTAGGCTTCATCCTGAAAAAAATTTTTTTTTGAAAATTTAAGATTGGTGATCCAAAATGGCGGATAGCTTAAATATGCATGGCGTCATTTTATGACGTCACCGGCGTTGCTATGGGCAACATAAGACTTAGTACACCCTAATATACTGTCATAAACACTTTTGGTAATGTTATATTGTATACCATTTAGTTTTCAGGGAAGAACCTATCTAGACGGTTTTGGCCAATAAAATCACATTAATGACGTCATAATGACGTCATATTACGTCATAACAACATAAAAATTGTAGATATGATAACTTTTTTTAATAGTACACCACCCTCTAAAATTTGGTGGTCATACGACATACCGTTCTGGGGGGGGGGGTCAAATGAGCACATCACCCACCCACCCCCGTCCCACCAAGCCCAAAAAAGCCCGGTCTAGATAAGGTTAAAGATGACAGTCAATTTTCAGGATACGGCCACGGTCGTCGTACGATCGTCGCACGGTAGTACACTACTGAAGGCAAATTCAGCTGTTTTGTTACAAAATGACTGTCTTATTATTAGATCCTTCCCAGTGGTTAGTACTATCACAGCCTGCTTCAAAATCCTAAGACAGCAATACAAGGACGTACAATGAATGTGCGTGATCGTGTGAATTGCACTATAAGTTGGGTGTTGTTTCCACTCACGTGCATAATGTGGCGCTGTCTTCATCTGGAGACAGAGGGCAATGAGTTATGCTTCCTTTGACATTGCATTGTGGGAAAATGACTGTAGTTACAAAGTCTCGTAATTCCGGATGGTAGTTCTCTCCGAGGCCGTTAGAAGTGTTGAGCAGCTCCTGGACTGAAGGATTCAACATCGCCTCAAACGTCCCATGTCCAAGTTGGTTCGGCAACATTGTCAGTCTGTTGCTTGGACGGAAACCATCGGGAATAGACAGGCAGACTGAAATTAAGAACAAGTAAGTATCTCATATTTTATAACATCTAAGAGAATTATGAATAGTAAAAAGACATCTATGCTCAGTGGCTAAATAGCACTGAATAAACCTGCCCTTATGACACAAATAGAAACGTCCCTATTGGTGCAGATCAACCTATTTTAGCCAGCAAACTAGCATAGATTATTAATATCTTTAAATATATCATTTCTACCATTAAAATGGTAGTAATTATATATTATTATATAAAATGTTATTTATGTTAAAAAGGAAGTGTAATAAAACATAGAACCTAGAAAAATTTCTTGTTTGAACCAAAATTACTGATTTTTCCAAAACCTGCCTGTCAGAAACCCGTTGCCATGGCAACACAAAACAGAAACACAAAATCTAACTAATATGAAATTGTTGCCAGGTATTTCTTTAGGAAAAGGCACCAAATTTGTCGGTTCTAGGCAAGCCGTTTTTGCGCTATCCGAGATGAAAGTGAGCGCGGGCGTCAAAAGCCCTACCCCCCGTCTGAATAGGGTTAAGAAGAAAACTAACACATCACTAAAGTAAATACGTACACAAAACGTATAGGAATGGTAAAAAAAACGTAATTGCAAACAGTTGTGTTCTAGATACAAATGGATAAAAAAAAACTAATAAACGCAAACCAACTAGATATGATTAAAGAAACAGTCAAACGCTTTAGGTAGCTATTGTGTCCGTACAACTATATAAACATTAATCATTTATTAATATGCAAATGAGTGAAGACAAAAAAATGAAAAACCTATCATGAGTGACAATACATTATAAAGACTTTGGAGCAAAGTTTTGCAATATTCAGGTTTTGGTGTTCGTTAACCCTATCTAGACCGTGGGGGGGGGGTCTAAAGTGCCCGAGCCAACTTTGACGTCACGTAGCGTCTGAAAGGCAAACTTGGTGACTTTTCTTAGAATATTGTTGGCAACAATTCTGTTCATTGGAATAAGATAATATTTTTTGTGTTGCCATGGCAACGGGTTTCTGGCAGGCATTTTTGCTAAATTTAGTAATTTTAGGGTATAGAATTTTCTTCTTACACAACCAGTAAGGTTCTCACCTGCTTACGTTTCGATGTCTATCAGACACCTTCCTCAGAGCTTCTGACTGGAGTTCTGCAACTCGCCGCTATTTAACGCCAATGTAGGTGCAGAACTCCAGTCAGAAGCTCTGAGGAAGGTGTCTGATAGACATCGAAACGTAAGCAGGTGAGAACCTTACTGGTTGTGTAAGAAGAAAATTCTATACCCTAAGTATCTTCCAACCTGATGAAATTATTTACGGAATTTAGTAATTTTAGTTTCAACAATAGAATTAATGGGTTTTATGTCATGTTACACAGTTTCTAATATTAATAACATCCCATATAATTTTATGTTAATTTTATACTAAAAAATGCATAATTTATGCTAATTTGATGACGTCATTGGCCAAAATCCAAGATGGCGGACCATATCATTAGAACAGGTATATACAGGTTATTTTCCTTATAATTTCATCAAAACTTTTTACAAAAAAGGTTCATATGGCGGATACCTTAAATATGCATGACGTCATTTTATGTTGATATGATGAATTTTTACTATTAAACCATTCTCTGAAAATTTGGTGGTCAAATGAGCCCCCCCCCCCCTCCGTCCCGCCAAGCTCAAAAAAGCCCGGTCTAGATAGGGTTAAGTAAAAATGCGCCATGTCTAAAACATAGAACACTCCAATTTTACGTAATGAGCCATTGCCAGTAAACTGTGGTATATAATATAATTAGGTATACTTTACTTACCACAATCTTCCTCGTCACTACCGTCCAAGCAGTCCAGATGTCCGTCACAACGCCACCATGACAGGATACATCTGTCTACACAGTAGAAGTACCCCAGAGGACAGCGCGCCTCTGTGTGGGTCAAAGTTATATTTGTAAATTTAACGATCAAAACGTATCTTTGCTGATACGAACAATAATGACACTTGTTGCGATAAGTGGTCACAGTGTTTGTTCAATGATGCTCACCTTTACAAACTTTTAAACACCCCTTATTATGAAATTCCAGGAACTTACCATTGTTTAACTATAACATTTTTCTTAATAATTATACAAATTAAGTTAATTTACATGATCAATGTCTGCCTGTGATTCCCTCGTTCTTGATTACTGTAATGCCACAAGTTTTAATAGTCCTATCAATTAATCAATCACCAAATCGATCAATCAATCAATATTTATTCAAATGACTGGCAGACGAGAGTCTGAATTTAGCTGTTCTTACAAACAGCATCCTAAAATTATACGTTAAACTATACTAATGGCTAAAAATTACATAATTTACACGATAATAACACAAACTCGTAAGAGAGCTATAATGCCTCTTTACACAACAAGTAGACGTAAAGGTCAATGCGACAAGGCTATAGATGGGCTTTGTTAAAGGTTTCACACACTTAAATGATATGAGAGCAGATACTGAACTAATTAACTAGCGTTTAACAGATGAACAATGTAAGGGATGGGTGACTTTGTACCTTTCTGTGCTGCAATATGGTATTTCAAACGTCTGTGCAGAACGCGCTCTTCTACAGGAGATATTCTGCCTTACTGGGGTCAGAGTTCAAGAGTGATTTTGCAAATGTTCTACAGAATGTGAGGTGTCGGTCGGCCAGGGAGTAAGTAAGTGCTATGTCGTAACTGGAATTCTGTGATCACAGAATGATTTTGCAGGCCCTTACTTGGATTCGTTGTAGTGTCTTTGATTGTTTACAGGTTAGTGCTGGATGCCATACAGGTACAGCGTATACAGTGTGGGACGTACGTACATCGTGTAGACACACCGCATCTCTTCAGCCTACGTAACATGTAAAGTCTCCTGTTGGAAGATTTAACCATGTTGTCAACTTGATGGTCCCATTTCAAATTACTCTGGATGGTCGTGCCTAAAACTTTCTAGGGGTTGTCCACTTATAAACTGGGGTTCTGGAGGGGGAAGGGCTCTCGCGAAGCAGACTTAAAGAACTTTACTTTTCCTCAGGTTTAAAGACATCTGAAGACATTTAAAGACCCAAATGTTCAGGCTGTCGAGAGCGGGTGGAAGCGTACATGGTTGACGTATTAACCGGGTTTCTGCAATGTTCATATCATCTACATACTTCCAACGGTTGGTCACTTCTAGGACTGCCGCATCAATTAATGCTGTAAAAACAACTGGACCAAGTAAGGTTCCCTGCGCTACTCCGCAGGTGAGGTTAAGCCAGTCCAAAGTAGCACCATGGTAAGAAACCCTCTGCCGTCGGTTAGTCATAAAGCTGCAGATCCAAGGTATCACTGCCGGGCGAACACCTGCGTTAAGCAGGGGCGGAATAGCTATTGTATGATCCACTTTTTGAAGGCCTTAGACAGGTCAGTGATGAAAATCATGTAATGCAGATCATTTTTAGAATTTCTGTAAAAATTATGCAAATTACATCAATATTGGCATGATTGTCACATAATTATGTCAAGCATCACTTAAGCTACCTACATGAAAAATCACGACGATCCGTCAACCAGTTCTTGAGTTTTCTTCTTTTGAGTGTTATCAAACGACCCTGCAGTTTCAGAGTAGGCCGCTAGGGGGCTTAAACTCACGTCACTTCTTCTCCAAAATAAGAGCTACCCATTATTAACATTTCGTGATCCTAGCATGTCTAGGTCATGGGTTATGAAAACCGGAAATTTAGTACTATAAGGATCCGTAAAGGGGTCCAAAATCTTATCATTTTAGGTCTCATCAAGAGCTCTTCACCTACTAAATACTAAGTTAATCCATTAAAGCCTTCTCAAGTTGTCGTTTTTGCAGACACACACGAACGCCTCTGAAAAAATAACCTTATTGTTGAAGGTAAATATCAACAAAATCCAGTCGGGCCATCTTAAGTTATAGTGACACCAAATCAATAAGAATTCCGAGACTCATACCTCCATGAAATTTATGATTTTTATGAATGTTTTTATTTGTCTCATTGACTATGGATATAAGGTCATAATTAGCATCTAGTTTTATTTATGGTTTTCTAAATTCAAATGACAATATTTTCGTGTACTCTCCTTTGTCATACTTCATTTCAACATGTCCTCATTTATTATGCAAATGACCTCTACATTAACATAATATATGCACAGTGGTGTTAAGTAACTTACACATGTCACAAGGTATAAAATTCCCATCATTAACCTATAAGGAATTTTCACAGAATGTTCACATTAATTATGCAAATTAGGTCCTCATTTGCATAATTAGTATCTGTTGATGTTTCGCCTGCCAAAGATTAAATAGATTACATGTATAAAAGTACCGTTATATAAAACACTGTAATTATGGTCTCGGATTTTGGATCCGGCGGACACCGGATATATATATATATACCCGAGGTTTATTTTACTTTCCTATTTTTGACTGAACAATTATTTTACTACTACAAACCGAGCATGTCTACGAGAAAGTTACAACCTGGAAAAACAAAGGACAGCCGCCAGGAGGACAAAACGACATTTGCCTTTGTCTTTCCGACATTGTCTAAAGTTATGCTGACTACATATGTGGAACCAAAAAAACAGACGCAATGCACAACAATGCACACAACAACTCTTCAATGTTGAAAAAAATGGAAAGCACAAACCGGGATATTTTGAGCCTGACCTGATAAAGAGACTTGACAGATGAACTTCCTGTCGGCGCGGGTACATAGTCCATCGTTCCATGTGTTCTGTTCGGGCCCGCCTTCGGGATAGTACTCGGCACAGTCCTCGTTACCGCTGTTGTTGGGCTCTCCTGGGCCCCAAGAACTGAATGTGCCCAGAGGAACGTTATCGTCCCACATCCAATCCCCCTCCTGGTGGTCATCGGTCAGTCCAAAACGGAACGAACCTTTGCTGTCGAGGCTATTTTTTAGATCGATGAGGAACTCGTTGGTAGTGGTGTCGCGGGGCATGGCAAGGGTTCCCCCGTCTGAAGAACACCTATTGACTGCATCGTTGTAGGTTGTCCTGTCGTTGAAGGCCTTGTAGCACAGCTGATTACGTTGATAGTAAACGTACTCATCTGGGCAACCTATTTCGGAACGAATAAGTTTATCATTTCAACAGCAGCTACCTGCAATTGTGCTTGATACACTCTTTAGACAATAGCCATTTTGATGGAAGATCGAAGCAGTGAATAATTATGAGTTACAACGGAATGACTGCATTTTGAAATACATGACGTATTATGTGGTATACATGACGCATCGATCCAGAAAACGGGGCGTATAGTCCCCTGGCGGTTTTACGTAATTTTGACACGGAACTGATGCCATATAACGTCATGTTTGCAAAACGTATGGGCGTACGTACGTACATGTGGTTCTGCAAACAAAGCAGCAGCAATTTCCACACAAATTAAACTGTTTATGACATCATTTCTATGTCAACATTACTTATGCTAAAAATGTCACGTTTCTGGATCTATACGTCCCGTTTTGGGGCCAAAACGTCACGTATACCATGCATTCCCTCACGTATGGCAAAATGTTTGGATACGTTGCAGAATGATGTACGTAACGTATATGTTTGTACGTACCTTTTGCCATACGTGAAGTATGACATGACATACCTGATGCATTGAACTCAAACTTACGATTTTAGTTACGATTTCGAAACGGAAATTAACGTTTAAAAGTACGTAATTTAGACACAAAAATGTTATCATGTCACATAATACCCTTTTATTATATCATAACTATGCCAAGTAAATGTAGCCAAGACCTACCTAAAAAGACTTGAAATTCACAAAAGGTCAGTGTTCGGTAGGGTCCGGGAAGACGGACGCCCACGTACCGGCCCCTCATCCCCTGACATGAGACGGAAATGGACCGCTGGTTCACGTCAATTTCATGATCACCACCACACTTAGGGTTCGTGCTGACCTGGTCGGAATCCCCAATGTGGATGTTGAAGGGGTTGAGTTGTTCCTGACAACAGTCTTGGCGATTGAAGATTGTGACCCTGTTTTTATTGAAAACAAAGCCATAGCAATGGAGTTTTATAATTATATAAGGCCACACCAATTTAATTTGTTGGTTCTCGGATTTTTTCAGGAAAAAAATGAAGCGACAGGGCGAAAAAAAAAAAGCTGTGAAGTCTAGATGGTAAAGCCAGGGCTGGAATAGGGGCCCGGGGGCTCTCGTGTTGAATGAAAGGTACAAGGTACAGTATACAGAAAAGCAAAAAAATATATATATATATATTTAATTACTGCTATGTATGCATATGTTGCTCTTTTCATAACCATGATCTTATTTCCACCTAACAGTTACATGTATTTGATTTTATTAAGTTATGATAATGATGATGTCTTAACAGGGCTACAATCCTGGATTGTATAAACTAAAAAATAGTCTGAATAGCAGTCTCAATAGCTAAATCGGTTCAGAATAATATATTGGGTTCGCTCATCACATAACAAGGACAACATAGGATACTAGTTCATCAAACCATGCAAGGACATCAAACCCACCGGCAGAAAGTTGTTTTGGTTCCAGCTCAAGTTCTGCAAATTTTTCCACCCCTAGAATTTCAACACCAGAAATTCTGACAACATCATAAATTGTGGCTTTCCTACATCTCCGGCCACTATTATTTTCTTACTTCTTGAAGCCTACATTCAAGCAAGGAGGTTTAATAGCAACTTGGACGAAGTTTCTTCTCTCAAAACTGACCGCCATTTTGTTATGCAAAATAGAGCCCTTCTATTGGTTCCCATACGTCACATGACCAACTGGTAAGAGAGACACCTATCATCCCTTGATAAAACTGCAGGTTTTGGTGGTGTGATCTATTTTTTGACAACTCCTCTGGGGCGGAGCCTATGAGAAATTGATTTTTTT